ATGCGTCCGTAGCTTTTGGCTCAAGGGACGCCCGTAGCTTTTGGCTCGAGAGAGGTCGCCGCAGCATGCTGTCCAAACGCGCGCTGCCTTTATGGCAGGCGCGCGCTGCCAGCAGACAAACGCCCGAGGGCGAATGTCGCTGACCTCGTGTCGCGCGACATCGTGTCGGGCGCCAGGGGGCTCCAATTGGCAAACGACACCCACCGCTCTGGTGCCACAGGCGTTGCTGATTTAGTACCATCAGAAAAATACCCGGGCAATGCCCCACGTTTCTTTCGCCAAATTTTCAGAGAGAACGGTTGGCCACCCTTGTACGTGCGCGACGTGCGGGCGTGGAACGCTAAAAGGCAAGTGGAGGAGCTGCAGAAAATACATTTAATGCTGCCCCACGAGATTTTGGATCGTTTGGCGTTCTTCGGCCACGCAGATGTTATGACTGGCGCGTCTGGGTTAGATCCCGTTTCGCTGGAGCATTTCAACAGTGCAGCGTCGTTCCTCGGCGACTCCGACACGGTCCCATGCGGCATCTGGCAAGACGGTGTGCCTTGTAACTGGGACCGCAGCGTGACCGCTGAAATTGTTTCGCTCCTGTTGCCTGGCTTAGAGGAGCGCTACGCGAACCTCCGCGTGCCCATCGCATGCTTGCTGAAGAACCAGTTGTCCCCAAACACCCTGGATGATATTTTTGAAATTGTCCGCTGGTCATTCGCGCACCTCGCAACCAAAACGTGGCCATCGTGCAGACGCGATGGATCGCCATTCGGGAGGAGCGACAAGTGGAGGGCCAAACAGCATAGCGAGAGAGGGCGACTCCCTCTCAGGGGCGTTGTTTGCCAGATCAAAGGCGACTGGAAGATGTTCAAGGAGGTGCTGAAGCTGCCAGGGTGGCAGGACGCGGAGTGCTGCTTCCAGTGTAAGATCAAGCTGCCCGAGGTCACAGGGAAAAACACATAGCCAACCCAGTTCTGCCTCCACCGACCCCTGCCCCAACGCCCCACCCCCCCTGCGCTACCTGAGGAGGGGGATCCCGGCGCGAAAGTTGCGCGCCCCCCGCGCTGACGTTGCAAAGGCCATCCCCTATCGCTAGGGGGCGCTCGCCCAAGAAGCGGGGGAGGGCCATCAACGCTGCGCGCGGGGCAAGCAGGGCGAGTTGAGAGGTGGAGTGCGGACCATTAGCTGGAGGAGGCAAGGGGAGGGGGAGAGGGGAATGGAGGAAAGGGATGGCAACGCGCATAAGCAAATCAATAACACGAGACGGATAGGAGGAGGAGGAGGAGGAGGAGGAAGAGGAGGAGGAGGAGGAGGAGGAGGAGGAGAAGAAGGAGGAGGAGGAGGAGGGGGAGGGGGAGGAGGAGGAGGAGGAGGAGGAGGAGGAGGAGATGGAGGAGGAGACGGAGGAGGAGGAGGAGGGGCGGAGGAGGAGGAGGAGGGCAAGGAGGAGGAGCAGGAGGAGGAAGAGGAGGAGGAGGAGGAGGACGACGACGACGACGACGACGAGGAGGCACGCAACGGGAAATCATATGTGAGGGGGAGGAGCGATGCGCTGGGGAGGAGGGGGGGGGGCGACGCGCCAAGTGACGGGGGCGTCGAGGAGGGTGGGCAAGCCGAGGAGCAGGCGGAGGAGGCAGAGGCAGAACAGGAGAGGGAGGATGGCAAAGCGAAGTTTTCGATGCCCGCACGGTCTCTACCGAGATCGGCCACGACGCGCCCTGGCGCACGGACCGCAGATCATGGCAAGAACTTTTGATGAAAATCCTGGGTTCTGGACATCGAGTATGCCCTTTGTTGATGGTTCCGTTTGCCAGCGTGCGAATTTTGATGTTGGATTGGCTGCACTGCGCGGATTTAGGTGTAGCTGCAGATTTTATGGGCTCTCTGATCTGGTATTGCGTCGTCAAGAGGAAAGTCCCAGGCGGCACGCAGAAGCAGCGCATGCGAGAGATGCACCTTAGGATGCAGGGGTTTTACGATAGACAACCTCCGAACGGCGCGCCGAACAGGCTTCCTCACTTGAGCATTGGGGGTGTGAAAGGCAAATCAAACAGCTATCCCAAGCTCAGATGTAGCGCTGGTATGGTTCGGCATCTAATACCGTGGGGTATGGAACTTGCGGAACAGTTCTGCGACAGGAATGACCCCGTGGAGTCTTCTATGTATTTTTGCATGCAGAGTTTATCACGCTGCTACGCTGCGCTTGCAGGGTCTTTCCCATTTACGAAAGACACGATGCTGGAACATTCTGTGCGTTTTGCTCAACACTTCACTGCTTCGGCGACGGCGCATGATAACATATTTCGCATTAGACCCAAACTGCATTTATTTTTGGAATTATGTTCTTCTGGAGGACAACCGTCCAAGCACTGGAACTACCGAGATGAAGACTTTGGAGGGTCCGTTGCGGCGTTTGGGAAGCGCAGAGGGGGTGTTCCGAACACGTCTGAATTTTCAAGGGCAAGCATGACGAAGTTTATGGGGCAGCCTGTTGTTCGTCTCTTGCGCTGAATATGAAAGAAGAAGAAAAAAAAAAGGCCCAAAGAAGGTAACGCCCCTCATCTAGGGGGATTTTCTTGGGTGCGAATTTTGACAGAAAATCTTGAAGGAGGAGATTTAAAGATAATCCTAATATATATTGGTGTTTGCAATATATTGGTGTATTGGATGCTCAAGGCAGACGTCCCGCCTCGAGCTCCCTCGACCGGGGCGCACGCCTTGGGCGTGGCTTAATGGGGGGGGTCACACATGGGGGGGTCAGAAAAGGCCCCCTCTCGTGCCCCTCTCGGGCCCCTCCGGAGCCGCGGGGGGCTCGTTCAGGTACCGTTTGGGTACCTTTTCGGGCCACGCTCGCCGCCCCCCCATTTATGACCCTCCCATTACGCAGCGCCCAAACGCCGAGGCCCTCGGCCTCGCCGGGGAAGGGAGCCCGAGAGGTCGTGCGCCCGGGCCCCGGCTCCCGGGCGACACGCACGTCCGCCGAGAGGTCGGAGCGCTGCCCCGCGCGAGCCCAAAGCATGACCAGCCTCGGACGTGCCCCTATCCCTAAGATTTCGCAGGCCTGGAAATTGACACCAACACCAACTTCGGCGGTGTGCCTCCACCGAGGGAAGAAGATCCCGATCTCGGCGATGGTGGAAATATTCTGGCTCCCTCACGCCAAAAGATTGACACGCCAAGAGGCGATGACAATCTCAGGGGTTCGCCCTCAAAAAACCAGGGGATCCCTAGGAATTGGCATCGTGATGAGGAGATGCCCAGCATGGGGATGGGGATATGTTCCTGGCTGGTAAAACTAAGAATGGAGGGCAGAACATCCACCCCGATGATAACCACCCCGACACGCGAGGCCTTTGGTAAACGCGCCCAAAAAAGGAATCGAACAGGGCAGGGCTGTTCAATAAACGCCCAGGGCCGTGTAGTAAACGCCAATTGTCCGGTCCGGGTGGTTGTTCCTCCCTTGAACTAAGGAGCCAGGCCCCCATTTTTTCCGTGCGTGGAACTTCGATGCCCCACGGGAGCACCCAGGGAGCACCGAAGCAACCTTGGCAGAACAACTGATTCGAGGAACGCCGGGCCCCATCCCCAACGAACAGGGTTTCGTCTCCGGCGGCCCGACTGTGTACGACCACCCTTCGGGTGATGATCAGGTTTCGAGTAGAGGATCGACCACATAATTGATTTACCCCCACATGGATTCCCCATCGAAACTACGACGAATACGTAGTATGCTCGTGCATCTACTGAAGACTCCGAGTATCTTTCCGTAGATGCGACGAGACGAGTACTTTGGGGCAAATCAATGATGTAGTCGATCCCCTACTCAAAAGGCTGGGGGTGGGGGGGGAAACGACCAGCTGCTGGCAAACGCGATGGGTGTGATGATGGTGACGGTGCTGGTGGCGCGCCCCCGAAGCAGCGACGACTCGTGATGGTGATGCTGCGCTGCGTTGTCGTTGTCACAATCGTCCCCGCTTGCGATCCCACTCGATCGATCCTACTATCGACCTCAGAGCCAGTCTTAGCACCAGTGGATCCAGCGATCGATCTCATTGTGCTCGCCCCAGGGGTAATTTCTTGTCCCCCCGAGATCTGCACGGCCCAAGGGACGTCGCCTCCCTGCGCATCCGACCGCGCGAGCACAACCAGCGCGAGCACAACCAGTGTCACAATCAATCAACCACAACCACAACCAATCTCACAATCAATCCTTAATGTTGTTCTCGCTATCCAGTTCATTCTAGCGATCTCATTGTCAATCCCACGATTGAATTTACCATCGATACCAAGGCGGTACACCGCCCAACACCGCCCTTCCACCGCCGACGGAACACCGACGGGTCACTAACTTGATACCAACGGGACACCACAGGACACCACGGCGGGACACCACAGGATACCACGGCAAAACACCCGGGGCCACCGCGCGCCCACTGGGGGCGGAGGGGCGGTCCACTGCATCCGAATCGCCCTAGAAACGGCAGGGTCATTCCTCTCGCCCGCCCACGCAGCTTCGCCTCGCCCGCACGCACGACACGAGCACGAAACCGAAACCGATTTCCCGTTGGCGGGCTCTCCGCTCCACTGGGATCTCACCTCCCAATCTCCAACCCGTATCCGCGGCCTCGCAAGCTATGCCCCTAGGCCGCGACCCCACCGATATTATATATATATATATATGCATCAAGACATATTTGTATATATTCATCTTTATGTATACATATATGTCTATCTATGTGTACATATTCGTACATATACATATAAAAGAGACGCATCCGTGCGACCGCGTATCCGCGGGATCGCGCCCCGGAATCAAGGTCGCGAGTGCGCGGCTACGGCGACGGACATGTTCGCCGCTCGTGACCAGGTTCAAGGATGGCAGCCGGCAGCCCTGGAGGCCAGAACCTCCCAACCTCCCTAGAGGCCAGAGACTACCCAAACTCTCTGCGATGCACACGAGGCCGCAAAGCCCGTGGCGGGGTCGCCGTCGCATGGACACGACCATAATG